ATATATAATATGTATATAAAATATAATAAATCTTATATAAATCTTATGAATTGTCCATTTATTAAAGTTTCTTAATTAAGAGAATATTCAGTGACTTGTGCATCTTCTTTTTTGTTTATTTTTTATAGAATATGAGACAGATAAAATAGAATTAAAATAGGTAAGATAAATGTATATGAACACAAATTATTCTTACAAGAAAATTAGGAATAACATAGCAATACGAGACATTATTATATCAGACAATTGAGATTTTATTTCAACATTCTTCGGATTAGAAATCCTGCTCCGCTAGATTTACAGCCAAAATACAAATACATTATAAGTCTCAATTATACATTGATGCATGTGTCACACACACAATTATAATGAATTATATATTAAAATATATAAAAAAATAGGTTGAAAGAGGCGAAATAATTTGAACTTTGAAAATAAATACATATACTTATAGATTTAAGGCAACATGAAATATATTTTGTGGTGCTAAGAGATATTAGAAATATTATAATTACTCGATTAATAAGTTTTAAAAAATTTTGAAAACTATGCGGCCGTTTAAGATGTTTTTTTTTTTATTTTGTAATTTTATTTCATTTTATTGATATTTTGATTTGAAACAAAATATTTTTTAAATTAAAATTAAGTAGAGTTGTTTTTAAAAATATTGAAAATATCAAGACTTTCTTTTGAGTGCTTTTAATAATATGTTGAGTTGTATTTTAAGAGAAAAAATATAAACATGTAGAAAATGTACAAATAAATATATTCTTAGAAGCATAAAACAAAAAAAAGGGTGTTTAGGATCACTTTTAATTTTAATTTTATTTTTACTTAAAATAAAACCTATGTGATATGTTATAACATGTTCAATTACTTTTGAAAATGCTCAAAATAATTTTTAAATGTTTTTAATGTTTTAAAAAATAAACTTTATATTAAACAAAAAAATATAAAAATTGCATTACACAAATATATATTTAAAATAAAAGAAAATAAAAAATAAAAAAATACATAATTAATATTTGATCCCAAACAAGCTCCAACAAAATGTCAAATTATATGGGAAAAAAGATTTTGATACTAAACTTAAGAACAAAAATAATTTTGAAAATTATGCTAAATATAAGAGAATCAAACCTATGTGCCATGCAATAATATGGGGGAAGAATATCAAAATAAAAGTTTTAAAAAGCTTAGTCAATTTTAAAAAAATCAAATTGCTTTCCTAAAGGGGAAAAAGGTAAGTTATAAAATTATATTTTATATTAAGATAATTAAGGGTGTGTTTGAGGCAGTAATAGCTTATTAAAAAAATAACTGTGAAGCTGCTGAAAAATAATTAGGTGTTCAATAAATTAAAGTGATAATTACTTTTTTTTTTTTGAAAAAGTCAGTCCCCAGCTATTAAGTTGTCACCGCACCTTGTCACGATCGGTGTAAAAAACATAGATTCAGTGTCAATAGCAAAAACACAATTTCTCAAAACAAACAAAACTCTGATGTGGTACCACACTTCACCGCACCGCTGCCTTAAATGGACCCTAGAAGAGAGTTAAAAAAACAAAAAACCAAAAAATTTCAAATCAGTTTTATTGATTTAAGGAAAATTTTGGTCAAGTGCCACAAAAATTGAATTAGTGTGCCTTAAGATTGAAATATATGTTGAGGCTATTAAATATATGTATAATAAAACACTAATTAATATTAAAAGTAATTATCGAGTGATCAAGAGTTCAATTATCATACATTTATATGAATATTCAATGCGAAGTCCTTTTTTTGGCGTTTGGAACGAAAAATAATCATGAAGGGTCCTAATTGAGGGCCTTGGTGGGTGTTTTTTGAGTGATGTAATTATAATTAGCGGCCATTTGCTTGAAATAAAGGGAGAAATTAAAACAATCAAAGCTTATAAGTGTCACGTGTGCGCTTACAGAGTGAGTGAGAGAGAGAGACACGTGTGTGTGTGTGAGATTGTGAACCAGCTGAGATCTTTGGGAAGATAAATATCACCATCCATGAATTGAATAGCAATCGAAAAATATTGCTATTAAACAAATAAAAAAAATCTCAATAAATAATATTTATAATTAAAGAATTTATTAATGGATTGTTGAAGGTTGAGATTATGTTTGGAGTAGCTGCAACTTATTATAAACTAACGAGAAAACTGCTGAAGAATTATCTAATATTCAAAAAACTGAGTTGGTTATTATTATTATTATTTTTTTAAAAAAAGTCGGATCGCACTCAACTAGGAGCAGTGAGAAAACACAGATTTAAACAATAATTTATTAAAAAAACTGTCAAAATACAGTTTATCTAAACAAACAAAACTGTAGCGTGGTACGGACCATGTGTTTATTCAAGAACTTCAATATTGTGAAGAGTAGTTATTATCAAAAGTGAATGATAATTAAATGATATGTATAAATCTTATTAAAGTGAATAATATATGTCAAAAAATTTCTACTCTTCACTTAATATTTATGTTATGGTAAAATCAACAACATAATTTCCATTAAATTTTAGTGAAATTTAAACACATACCGCAAATCTCTAATTCATTTACATATTTAAAATTTGAAGTTTGATGATTATATCTATAACATTTTATTATCATAAAGCTATACATAAAAAGGTGTATTCACTTGTTAAAAGTTAGTACTAGTGATAATTTTCATGTTATATTAAGCATAGGAGGATTAAAATGGGGCATATTTCCCCACAAACTCATGTTTGTCCCACTAAGTTATTCTGACTGATCTAATTTGCATTTTAATCCCTCTTTAACTTACAATTCATGGTCAAAATGCTTTTAAAAATAGTAAAATATCATATTTGACTTATGAGGCAATTGATGTAATATATTGCATATTTTGTGATGCTGAAAATCAATTCTATTGCATTCCCTCGCTAACAGAAGAGATTCAACCATATCATTAGATCTAGATGCTTAGAAGGGATGAGGAAATAAGAATTTAAATTGATGTATACTAACTTAAGGATATTATGTTATAAGAATATGTTCTAAAAACTAGAGAATTACAGAGCAATATACCAAAGACTAAGGCATTAGATCCATGAAGGAATTAAGGTAAGGAATTGATGATTTATGATGATGATATTTATTTGTAATAAGCCAACAAAAACAATGATCATCATACATTCACACTAGCCATACTAATAGAATTTAATTTTTATTTAAAAATAAAAAGAGAATTAGGGGGTGGCAAAAATTATTCTGACACGCCAACTCTACCCTCACCAAGCTCGAAAGGTATGGGTTCTAGTTGACTCGAATAAATTTTTAATCGGATTGGGGTTAAAAATCATAACCCGGGGTCAAGTTCGCTTTTACCTGTCAAACTGGATTTGACTCGATATTGACTAAAATTTGACCCTAATTTAATGTATTTTGGCCCGAATAGTTGATACTCCTTATGTTAAACAATTTATATTGGTTAGGTTCGGATCGGGAAATCGAAAGCATGTAATGTTTGGATTGCACTTTCAAACCCGTTTAATATTCAAGTCAACTCAATTTTGGGTTAGACCCAAACCCAACCCAAAAATCCCATTTGACACCCCCCTCTCTCTCTATATATATATACAAAGAGAGAGAGAGATAGAAATCTCAAACTATTTTTAAATTAATATTTTATCTTTAAAGCATTAAAAATGCTAGAAAATTTATGTTTTATATTTTATATAAAGTGATTTCTAATTATTTATTTCTTAATTGTTCATTCAATTTGTCATTTTACTATAACTCCACGTTGAATTAATATAGTTTTTTTTTTCTTTCAAAATAACAGGTCAACTCTCGAGCCAACTCAAACTCGAAGAGCTAAGCCTGAGCTTGAACTAAAACTAGTTTAAATAATCAATCTTAAGCTCAAGTTGAGTGTGGCACAAGCTTGACTTGAATAGTTTATACCCCTAAACTGCCACCTCACATGCCTTCTAAAAGTCTCACCATATTAAAACTTAATAAGATGATTAATAAGATTACATTTACCGCTTTATAAACAATTTGCATCATCATATTTCAATATTACTGACAATCATTTTTTGTTTGTGTTGAAGTTAGAACTGTCCGTGAATCACATCTCATGGGTTAGAACGTGAGAGGGGAGAGAGAGAGAGAGAGCAATAGAGAGAGAGGGAGAGAGAGAGGGAGAGAGAGAGAGAGAGAGAGAGAGAAATGCATAGTAACAAATAGTAAAATGTCTTTTTCATTAGCCCATTTTCTCATAAAATGATTCCTTATTAATAGGGAAGGGGGTAAATCATATGAAGTTACATATTTGACCCTACTTTC